CTGACAATTGCTGGCTATGCTGGTAACTGACTACCATTATGAACCTATGGACTGTGCAGTGGTGGGAGCTCTAACACAGCCTCTCCATCTTCTGCAGGTCACCCATCTGTGTATCAACCCAACAAAAAGGAGGGCTATGTTGGAGCCATTGAAGCTGAATACTCATGCAGGGCTGTGATGTGGCACACGCATGATTGAACTGAGAATGAAGAGATGCCTCAGGGGGCAAGATAGGCCACAGCTGAGGCCACCTAGACACTTTGTGTGGGATAGTTCTCTGCAGTTGGGATCCTCTGTTGCTCTGAGGGGGTCTTGAACCTCTCCCAAGATCCTGTTCAGGATTCTTCCACTCAACTCCTGCCAGCATGAGTTGGCCAGCTCATCACTAGAAGAGTGATGAGCTCTGCCAAGGATCTCTCTCCTCCTGCAACCCTGAAGACCATGCTGTGTTTCTCATTTCTTAGAGCCTTTTTGGTACACCATTTTGGTGTCTTGGTTTCTAGGAAAAAAACCCAACATGAAACATAAAATGTATCTATTTTAAAGACTCAGCACTGAAATACGGTATTGTTGGATGATGACAAGACCAACTATCAAATCTGTTTAAGACAATTTATGTATACAGATGCTGTTCTATTCCACTGTATTTTTTTGGTTCACCAATGCCAAATCCTCTTACATGACACAACTTTCCTCAAGACATTTCCACTTCAATCAATGACCTACATATGAATTATTTCCTGTAGGACACACACATAAATATGCAGGTTTTATGATATGCCTCCACTAAGTCATGCTGATGACAAAATTAACAATTCTGAGCCATTCCAGGCCTGAGAGGAGGAATAGAAAGCTAATCTACCCTTCCTGTGAGCTGGTGGAAGTCAGGTGGGGAATAGTAGTGGAAACTAGCCAATATGTTCATGTTGTGATTCTGTGGAAGCTATTCTGGTTCTCAGAAGAAAAGCAAGAAAATAACTTACACTTCCTGTGACCTAACCACTGCATTGGCTGGGAGAGGAGCACCACAATCACCTCATCCCACCACCAACCGTATGACCGGTTTAGAGGACATGCTGAGTTGATAGCAATGGAGGTATAAAAACAACTTAATCCTTGTATTACTTGCTTGACTTTGCAGCCTAAGGCTAGTATTCTTAAGCATGTATTTAAATTGGGAAATAATGGTAAAAGAAGTTGCAAAAACTTCATAAGTATATGGAGATTAAATAAAACTCTCCAAAACAACCAATGGGTGACAGGTGAAATAAAGGAAGAAACTTAAAAATACCTACAACCTAACAAGAAAATAGATGCAAAATCCTGTACCTTATGGGATTCAATGGAAGCAGTCCGAATAGGGAAATTTATAGTAGTCAAATCTCACATCAGGAAATAGAAAGAACACAAACAAATAATGAAATGTTGCATCTCAATCTTCCAGAAGAAGAATGGCAAGACAAACACAAATCCCATACAAAGGAGGAAATTATAAGACCAGGCAAGAAATTCATGCAAAGAAAACACTTCAAAGAATTAATGAATCAAAGAGGTGGTTCACTGAAAGAATAAACAAAATTGATAAACCTTTGGACAACAATATCATAAAAGAAAAAAAATAAAGACGGAAAACCATGCATTGATGATTCAGAAGAATAAAATAACTATAGATCCTGTGAAAATTCAGAAGAGCATCAATATCTACTTGAAAAGCTTATGCTTTCATAGGTTAGAAAATATAGAAATGCACTGATTCCTAGATACATATGAAATGCCAAATCTGATTCAAGAATTATAAAAATTCTAGAAAACACAGTATCAGTTAATGAGAATGAAGATCTCATTAAAAATGCATCAGCTGCTGGGCATGGTGGTGCATTGCTGTAATCCCAGAACTTGGGAGGCTGAGGTAAAGGACTGTTGTGAGTTTGACACTAAACAAGGCTACAAAGTGAGCTCAAGGCCAGCCTGACTTGAATAGTGAGAGCCTGTCTCATGAGCACATTAAAATAAAAAGAAAAACAATGACAACAGAAAAGCAAATGACCAACATAAAAAAGTCTAGTTCCTGATGAATTTACTGATGTATTCTGCAATAAATGTAGAAAAAAATTTAAGACCACTGCTGTTTAATGATTTTGCAAGAGAAGCTATTCTCCTTAACACATTCCTGGAGGCAAGTATTACCCTGATACTAACACCAGAGAAAGACCCAACCAGAAAAAGAAAACTATAAGACAGTTTTCCTAATGAACATAGATGCAAAAATCCTTAACAAGATACTAGCAAAGTGAATGTCACAAATCATCAAGAAGATTTTAAAACCTGAACAACTTGGATTCATCCCAGGAAGGCAGGGATGTTTCAGTACATGCAAATCAACAAATTTAAATGTCATACCAACACAGGCAAAAACAAAAGTCACATGGTGATCATCTCAATAAATGCACAATAAGCTTTTGATAAAGTCAAGCACTGATTCGTGATAAAAAACCCTATACTAAATAACAACAGATGACCTTTATCTCAAGCTGATAAAATCAAAAAATGATGGGGTTGGCTATTTAGCTCAGTGGAATAAGCACCTGCCTTGCAATTGTGTGGTCATGATTAGGATCACCAGTACCGACAAAAAAGAAAAAAACAAAAAAAAATCAGACAGTGACAACGAAAATCCAGCGTCATACTAAATGGAGAATAACTGAAAACTTTCATTCCACAGTTATGAAAAGGACATGGATGACTACTATGACCACTCCTATTTAATATAGCTCTGGAAACATTAGGCAGAACAATTAGACAAAAGAGAGAAATAAGAATAAGTATATAATAGAAATTAGTTAAATTATCATTATTTACAGACGATATGATATTCTAAATAGAAGATGCCAAAAACTCTACCAAAGCAGTCCTAGAATTAATAACCAAATTCAATAATGTAGCTGCAGACAAAGTTGACAATCAAAAATCAATAACATTTCTGTATACAATCAACAAACTCACCAAGAGAGAAGTTACACAAACCGGACCCTTTGCAATAGCCTCCAAGAAAATGAAATACTTGGAAAGAACCTAACAAAGAAAGTAAAGGACTTACATATGGAAATTTATAGTGCATTGGAAAAGGATATTGAAGAGATTATCAGAAAATAGAAAAATATCCCTTTCCCATTCTGTGCATTGTGTTTTCACTCTGTTAGTGATTTCTTTTGATGTACAAATATTTTCAATAAGATGGGGTCCTGGTGGTTGATTCTTTAAAATGTGTATTTTGGTCATGAAGTCTCGTTAGTGTTTCTGTTTTAATATTTAGATCTTTCATCTACTTTGACTTATATTTGTTTCATTGTGATAGATGTATCCAGTTTAAGTCTTTGGTATGAGGAATGTCATTTTCTTCAGCACAGTTTATTGAAAAGGCTATCTCTCTTCCACTGAACCTATTTGGCTCTTTTGTCAAAGACAAGTAGCAGAATGTGTTTGTAGTTCTATTTGCATTTTCTAGTCTTTTTGGATGATTCTCAGGTCTGTTTCTCTGCCAGAACTATGCTGATTTTCTGACAGTAGCTTTCTAGTATTATAGCAAGTCAGGAATTGTGATGCTTTCAGACTTGCCTTTGTTGCCCAGCAATTATTTTGGCGATCTAGACCATTTCTGTTTCCAAATGAATTTTAGAAATGTTTTCTCTACATTTGTGAGCTATCCTAATGTCATTTTGTTGGGCAATGCATTACATCTATATGACAATTTGCAACAAGATTTTTTGAGTTTTCTCCATATCCTTGAAAGTAGTTTTACTGGTCTCTTATATTCACCAGATGAAACCTAATATGTATGATCCTAAGAGTTTCAAACTGTTGAGTCCTTCTTCTCAAGGATATCTACAATAATATGATATTTTTTTATGTTTGTTTGAGGCAGGATTTCCCTATGCAATTCAGGCTGACTATGGACTCACCTCTTAGTCCAGTAAATTCAAACTGATTTTCCTACTTCAGCCTCTTAAGTCCTGGGATTACAGGTGTGCACCTAACACTTGAAAGAATTACTGGTGTTTTTTGAAACCTGAAGAAACAGTCATGAGATACACATGTATTCATTAACTGCTATTCCCTTTAAGGAAAAGTGTTTAATTTAACACATAACATCATTTGAGTGTAGGGAATCACGAGATTTGTTTCTATCTCTTATGGGCCGGGGATGCCAGACTAGACTACCAGCAGAAACAGGAGATATCACAGGTAGGAATATGAATCAAATGTGAGCATTAGCATTAAGAACTCAGAAAGTCTTGTATTTAAGGATGATGAGGAAAAGACTAGTGGAAAGCAATGAAGGACCTGGTGGGTTTAGCTTGTCCTGACTAAAGATCATTCTTTATTATAAGAATGAATATCACAAATTTTGAAGTATTAAAACATTGTGTGCTCTTTACCCTTGCAAATATTCAGGCTTGGCACTGTAGCTCAGCTGTTTTGTAGCTTGGCACAAAAGATGCCATCTCATGCCCTGCATCTATCTCATGCTCTGTATTTGACCCAGGAAAATTAAAAATCACTCATGATTTAAGTTCCATGAGAAAAGTAAAAGGAGCTGTACCCAAAGAAAAAAAGTAACCTGCTAAAAAAAGAAGCAGGATACAGGTGTCAAATAAAAATTCATTTAAGATTTGAGCTAAATTGTTTCCAAACAGGATGTCTCTTGTGACACTCTCTTTTAAAAATGCTTAACTTTCCAGTTCAGGGCCACTTGTTTTGATTCTGAAATGGGGAAGGGTCTGTATACAAGTGGTTCAGCTATTTAAATTCCAAATTTATACTTTGGATGCTTGAATTCCTATGCTGTTGTTCACAAACTCACCTCAAGATGCAGAAAGATTTACTGACACAAGCAAACATCAGGATTAAATGTCAGTGCCCCTGAAATGAAAGAATAATAGTGAAAAGGAGGGAAAAAATCACAAACACCATGTGTTACGATACCCACCTCTTTTCCACAGCATTAAAGAGGCGGAAACAGGAGAATGGTCACATATGCAAGACAGTCTAACCTACATGGTGAATGAAAGGCCAGCCAGAACTACAAGGTGAGACTATGTCTTTAAAAACAAAAATAAAAATGAAAAATGAAAAAAACAAGGGAGAGAGAAAGACTATTAAAGGAAAACAAAAACAATAGAGCTGAATGAAAGCTGACCTAAATTGGCAATTATGGAATGATGTTGCAGAGGAAAGCTGGCCATGTAGTAGCATCTGGGCAGCAGTGACAAATACAGAGTTAGAAATGGTGCCTATAGTGCTACAGCACAACAGTGACCTCCTTCCACCAATAAATCTGCAATTTGCTAGAATGAAGAGGTCCAAAACTCATGGAAATCTTAAACTCAGAGCAAGCAAGTAACTTCACACAAAGGCTTTGGAACATGGCCTTTAGCAGATATTTCATATTCAAATTGAAATAGGACAAATATAATCCTGCCTTGTTTGATGTCAAATGCAACATGTTGGTTGACTCACAACATTGAGGAATGAAGTCACAAAACAAAAGAAGTTCAGAAAGTTTTCTGGGAAAAAAGAGAGAAGAATAGCCCTGGATTTTCAGGAATGTTCTTCAGTGTTTAAGGCACAGACCTATTGTCAGGGGTCATTTTTACAGGAAATTCACAATGCAGGTACAGTGTGGGTCTCAAACTACAATCAACCTATAAACTTGTAGTGGCTTAAAAATACTCAACCCTTGGAAGAAGTCACACAGAAGGACTATGTTGAAAGGGCCAAGGCATTTTGTGGGAACAATAGTCCAGTTGTTCTGGTCATTGCGTATGGTAATTGATGCCTATGTGGACCTCCTGGAGGAGGTGGTGGTAACTTTAGTACATTTCAAGCTGTTGTTTTTCTCTCCAGGAGGCATGTAGACATGGTCACTGCATCTTCACCTTCTGGCTTTCTTAAGTTGTGTCTCTAGCAGGGATTGTTGTGTTTAGGTTTTTACACTGACTCCTTTGAGTTTCCATTTCCTCTCTGACTGTATATCAATTCCTCTCTATTTTGACCTCCTCTAGTAAAATAACAATACTACTTGAATGGATAAAGTAATGTTTATACATTTAATAAAATATTAATTAATGGGGGCATGGGATTTAGCTCAGCAGGCAGAAGCACTTCCCGGAGAAGTGCTAGGTTGTGAGTTTGATCCCTGGTACCTAAAAAAAAAAAAAAAAAAAAAAGAGTTTTAAACTGCAATGAAAGAAAATAATTTCATTGAAGATGTAGATTAACAAGATTTTTAATTAAATATGTCAATGGCAATTTGCTTCACTCTATCAGTGTCAATGCAGTGAATTTAATCCTAAAATAATAATAAATCTTCATACAAGTTTCAAAACAGAATTACGCATCAAAATATATATAACCAAGGTCTTAGAGGCCTACAGACAGCTTTCCATAATATAATAGAAGCCTTCTAGAAACTGAAAAAAAAACAGTTTATCTAATTAAAAATTGTTTAAGCAGCCAATAATGTAGAAATTTTTTCTGAACAATTATAGGTGAACCTTCTCTTTTGTAAGATATAACCTAATGCCATGGCAAAGTCTATGTCTTGCTAAATAATACAATCAAAGCAATTATTTTACACTTACAATGACTGTTGTATACAATTTTAGATTGCCAGGACTATAATCACTGCGAGTTGTATTAATCACTTGAAACTGCAGGAAAAGGAAAATTTTCAGACATTATAAAAGTATAGTCATGTTAATTTGGCTCATGTTAATGGTATAGGGGAATGAAACTCCTTACCTACTATATATCCACTATGAGTTTTTGTTCTCTAAAATTGAAGAATGAATTTTAGGAATGATGGAGTTTAAGAGTGGAATATATTTATTCAGAGAAGGAAAGCTTTTGTCTGAGAGACAGGAAAGGTCTGAGTGGGTTGCTAAATAGTCTGTCTTTTTGAGAAACTTGTATAGAGTTAAATCATGGTGTTAGATGGGTCCAGGGGAGGGAAAAATGAGAATCTGAAAGTTAAGCATAAGGCAGGATAGAAATGTGGTCAAACAATAAGGTTAATTGCTCAGGTAAAATTAATTAAATTGGGAGCAAATGGGAGAGCAAGTCATAGTAAGTGGGCAGGTTTAAGAGCAGAGATTCTTCTTGTAGAAGGCTGGGATGGTGACTCTTGTGTTCCTTAGAGTGATCAGAGAACTATTTGGACTGTTGGTCCTTAGCACTTGGTTGAATTTAATTTACCTTTTGTTTTGAGATTTGGCCCACAGCAGGAGGTGATTGTCTCTTCCAATCAGGCAAGCAATCTGAACTTATTTTCTGGCTCCTTTGAGGGGCAAGCCTTGTTACAAGCAGCTGAGTTAATTAGAAATATATAGCCAGGGAGACAGTCTCAGGTCCTAGAAGGCCAGCTAAGAAGTCCAGATACCTTGCAGCTATGGGGAGACAGATACCCCCTGTTATGGGACAGGCCCCAAGAGAAAATACCAGGCAAATTCATCCATATCCATATTGTAGCAAATAAAATGTACTTAATGGATGTAGTGAAATATCCGATAAAATTGAAAAAAATATTATCACAGTTTCTCTGTCATCACCAGTCATTTTCATCTTTCAACTATGTGGGGAAAAATAAGAGTAGCTCTTAGCAAATAGCAATGGTACAGTGCACAGTGTATTATTACACAGTGTATCCTGGATTAATTAATGCCCACTGCATTAATTTCCATTGGATACTCATGGCATTGAGCATGTGAATTATTGAGGAAGTAGATTAGCTTCATACATAGACAAGAATCAGTACTGCTAGGATTTTGTGGCCCAATAGAGAAGCCCAATGATAGGATTATTTCCAAAAGATGAAATATATTTCCAAAAGATGAGAAGTATAAAACAAAAACAGGCCTTTATTCTGAGAACATGGAGAGAGATGACTGGCACCCCCCCCCCCACTGCTGGAGTCCAGTGATCTCTCTGGCAGATACATGGGATGAGGGTGTGTAAGTAGCCTTGGTTTGGGATGGAACCAAAAGAGGGAATTAGGGATGCACAGGTAGACCACTGGTCTTAGGTTTGGTGCCATAGGTAAATTCCCAGGGGTGGGAAGATGGTGTCACAGGTAAATTCCTAGGAGTGGGGGAGATAGGGTCTTCCTGCTTCTGGTTGAGGCTTTCCTGGCTACAGAGTCCTGTCTGGGCCAAAACCCTTTCACAGAATATAAGAAAAAGTAGCAGTGTCCTTTCTATTTAAAGAATGTGGAGAGGAGCCTAAAGCCACCAAGTGTTTGCCTTTTTTCCTGAGGGATCATGTGATTATAGTGTATATAAGAAATTTGGTGGTGCTGGCACTGACATTGATATCATGAAAGGAGCTGATTGGAATTTTTTTTGGCCCCTGGGAAAGGAATGAGGAAGTTGTATTCAGGGAAAAAAGAGGATGTAGCCATACGGGTAAGCATCCCTGATTTGACCTTTCACCCTGGTGAACTACCACCATGATGTCTTGTAATTTATTCTAGGGCAAAACTCTTTAAAGTACATCCTTAAGTTTAAATTAAGAAATGAAAATAAAGAATTTTTGCTATTTATCTTCTCCCATTGTTAGTGGTAAACAATTCATAAGGAAAATTTCCAATCATTTCCTTAATGTACTGTAGATAGCATAAACAAAACTACAGATCCTTTCACTTTCAGAAAACAGAAGCAGCACTAAAAGGCAGGGATAAAGCCCTTCAATGCAAATGTCCCTTAAGAGGTGAGATCAACATTTAATAATACAATCATCTACTGATTTCTCTGACTTCAAAAAGAGAAAAATTTACACTTTTTATAGAGTATAATCATGTGGTTAGATGGTTTGAAGGGTGGGAAAACTGGGAAATCACAATGCAGATGGGCATAAGATGGGACAGAGCTATGGTAGCCAATAAGATTAATAGTGCAGGTAAAGTTGATTAAATTGAGAACAAAAGGGGGAAGGGAGTCACATAGAAAGCAGGCATTGTTAGGCAGCAGTGAATCTTGCCTTAGGGCTTTGGGAGGGTGACTACTGAGGTCATCAGGATGATAGGAACTATTTAGAATGTCAGTCTTTATAAAGATACATTTCTTTGAATGGTGACTCCTGACTTCCTCAGACTGCTAGGAAACTATTTAGAATATCAGGCTGTAGGATATGGATGAATTTGTTGATCTTCTGTCTTGAGGCTTAGCCCATAGCAGGAGTTTACCATCTTCTCCATAGTTGCAAGGTATCTGGGTTTCTGGATGGGCTCCTCAGAGGACCTAGCCCTGTCTCATTGCTAATCATAATTAACTAACTCAGGTGCACATAACAGTACTTTTAGGAAAATTGAATACAGATGTCTTGTGCTCTGGGTGAATGATCCGGGATGACAGTGTGCAACATATATACCAGTGTTGCCCCCTGATTCACATGTTTTGAAATTTAGTTTTAGTTAATTTTTTCTTTTTATCCTTGAAATGAAATGGATTTGGAAATGAAAAGCCTGAGGTAAGGCACTTTTGTATACATATTCCTCTGTGTAGCTGAGATCAACACTGTTGAAGTCAACCAGCTTCAGAAGTCTCTGACTACTGTCTATCATTTGGGATTCTCTCTTGCAGGAAGGAGTTCCTTTCCCTGTTTATTTTTGACTCAGATAGAATACAGTACAGCAGCAGTCAATCAGTGATGAAGAGGCGGGCTATATGAAATGTCCAATCAGGTGAGCCGTTGAAGGAGGTCTCTTCCTGTGTGTAGACATTGTTTACATGTTTGGAACACAAAACTTGGAGCAGAATGCTTGCTGGATCTCATTTACTGGTTTCAAAGTCCTGTGGCCTGATTAGCAAAGAATCTGGGAGACCCTCTAGCCAAGGAATGGTGAGGCTTTGATGGGAGCCCAGAAATAGGGTGGAATTGGGAGAAACCAGTTACAAGTGCTTAGAAGCAGTTCTGGTGTCTATCGACACAGGTATTTAGTTAGCTTCAGCTCCTGAGGTCTTCTAGCATTGGCCTTGGGTCGTCCACTTTCCCTTTTTCCTCCTGCTGGGAACAAGGATGATTCTGTGTCCCCAGAACCCTGAATTAACTATGATAGCACCAGACTGGATCATCATCTTTGAAATTCTCTACTGCCCTGGCACCTCCACCATAGGGAGTAGAGGAAGGAGCTTGGGAAGCCCCTGACTCTGATGCATTTTGTAGCTGGAGCAGCAGTACTGAGCTTGGTCTCTGCTCTCATTCCAGGAATCAGCAATCTTGATGTTCTAAAGTTTATAAATGTATGTAATGTAATGCGGGGCCTCATATCCACAACGGAACTCCTAAACCTGTACATTTTTGTATTTATAGGGATTGCCTAAATTTATGGTATGTTCTCACGTTTCCAACCTCATGAGAGGTGTTGGCAAAATCATGAGAATTCAGAGATGTGTAGTGATGTGCCTCAGTGAAGGAAGGCTTTCCAAATACCTGGTGAACTCCTGTGTATTATAAATAACAGTGCAAAGAATTTTTTTGTGACAGTGCATTATAAATAACTGTTTATTATAATGTATTATAATAACTGTATATTATAATTATAACAGTGTATTATAAATAACAGTGCAAAGAATTTTTTGTGACACATGTGTTCATAGACTATGTTTGTGAGAACAGACATAGAGGTCCGAATTTTGAGAAAAAAAGCAGATATAAAAGTGTCATCAAGAGCAGGGTAAAGTGTGCTTGCTAAGGACAAATTTCAGAAAGGTGTGCCTGTTAAATTCTCACTGAAAAATGCCTAAATGTATTCATTTGCATGAACATATAAATATGTGATATAATTCTGAATGGAAAAGAATATGGGTGTTATCTCTTAATTAAGAGCTAATTTAATAGCTTGGTTGATCATATACATTGTTTAAATATGAAAATGCTCTGCAATGGACTTTACTAATTTGTGTAAAGGAGATGCCCTAAATTGAAATTGTGCAGGGATATCAATAGTTTAGGCATGAAGGGTTTTCTGCTTAGAGTGGATCAGACGAGCATAGAAAGGGTGTGGAAGTGACCAGCAGGACACAGTGTGCAAATAGCAGGACATACAACAAAGAGGTCTTCACTGAACGTCAGGTAGTTCTTAGGGTAAGCATGCAGTTAAAGTTGAATTATGATATCTTCCTTGAGGTGAATAACACCAGCTCTGCTAACAATCAGTATTCCACAGTCCTGTCAACCCATGAATGCTGTGTTCTTCACTTGAGATCTAGTTTTGATTATCTCAAATTATGACCCAGAATCATGAAGGTGAAATTTGAATTTTTTTTGTACCAAGGGTCGAACTCATGACCTCAGGCTTGCAAGATATGTTTTCATGCTGCTAGCTAAATACCCAGCTCTGAAAGTGTTTTCTGTATATTATGGATGATATCAACCTTGTTCCTCAGAAAATGTTGAATATTGTGGAATTTTTCTATATTGTATGGCTATAATTTTTAAAGCAAACCAAAGCTGTCTTATGCAGTCACTTTTCAAGTTTCACATTGTCTGTGGCATTTCCTAGTCAGGATTTCTCTATTTCAGACAACTCTGTAACTTAGGTTATCCCCACACTCAAGGAAGTTCTCCTGCATCAGCCTTGCAAGATATATTTCTTATATATGAATGGAAAGTGATCACTTGGTGACACTGAACTATAATTTGAAGCTTGCACCTGGTTTCATTGTTTATAAGTTTTTTATATACAGAAGTTTTTGATGAACATTTGAGTTATTATTTTTGTACCCTATTTGATGTTATTTATGTTTTGTTCTGTGAAACCAAATTCAAATATCAAAATGCTGCTTAAGTGTATTAAGAACAAAGGACTCACTGGCCTAATTGAAATTTGAAAAAATACCATTTGTGGTACATCAAAGTGATTGGTGAGATATTTGTCTGCCTCTGTGCTTTATGGATGCTGGTCTTGCAGACTCTCACTATGAGCTCTGTATTAGAGACAGTGCACAGCAACTCTTGCAGTGACTCAGCATAATTATCAGTGCTCCTATTTGGCTGTTACATTAGCTTTGAGTTGCAATATAGCATCAAATTTGCTGTCTCAAAAAATTTGTGTATATACAAGAAATTAATCCCCAATATATGGAATTAAGTTTTGAAGAAATCAGTCTCCATTCAGCTGTTTTGTTTGGTTTTATTTGTTTACTTTAGTTTTGTTTGTTGAGACAGGTTTTCCCTATGTATATCAGCTAGATTTGAACCCCTTTTGCAGTGCAGAATAGCCCTAACCTCAAAGCATCACTCCTCTCTCAGCCTCTTGAGTGCTAGGATTTTAGATATGTGTGTTTTTACCCTAGAAAATATTAAGGCTTGTAACTTAGCTGTGTTGTAGCTTGGCATAATGGATGCCATCTGGAGCTTTGCATTTAACTAGTGCCCTGTATTTCACCCAGAAAAGTGGAAAGTCACTCAGGGTAGAAGTCCCAGGAGAAAAGCAAAATGAGCTGTACACAAAGAAAAAAATTAACCTGCTCAACAAAAGAAGCAGAATACATTTGTCATCCAAAAATTTTTATAAGATTCTAGCTAAATGATTTCCAACAGGATCTTTTTGTGATTCTATCTTTTAAAACATCTCTAACTTTCCAGTTCAAAGCCTCTTGTTTAGATCTTGAAATTCGGGTGGGAGTTCTGCATACAAGTGGTCCTTAGATCAGCTTATGAAATTCCACATTTCTCAATTGGGTTCAAAATCATGTGGTGAGATAGTTTTAAAGTGGGTTAGATTACTGAGATTACTAAGGAGATAAACTAGCACAGTAGAGAAACAGAATATTAGAAATGTAAAACTGGCCTTTTATTTAAAGAATGTGGAGAGGAGCCCACAACCACAAAGGGTTTGGCTTTGTTTTTTCTGACTATAGGGTTATGGGGTATATGTGACTTTTCACTGTATGCTTGGAGGGGACATTGATGTCATGCCAGGAGCTGATGGGAATTTTATTTAGGCCCCTGGGAAAGAAAGAGGAAGTTGTAATCAAGGAAAAACCAGGACAAAGCCATAATGGTAAGCATCCCTGATTTCACCTTCTTTCACCTTGAACTACCACCATGAGGTTCTGTAATTGTTTCCAGGGCAAAACTCTTTCAAGTACATCCTTAGGTTTGAAGGAAGAAATCAAAACAAATAATTTTTTCTATCTGTCTTCCTCCATGGCTGGTGCCAACCCATTCATAAGAAATATTTTGAGTCAGTTCCTTAATGCATTGTCAATACCATAACCAAAATTACAGATCAGTTCATTTTCAGAAAAAGAAGTAGCCTTAAATGCAGGGATAAAGGCCTTCAATGCTAGTATCCCTGGCAAGGTGAGATCAACATTGTGTGATACAAACTACTACTGATTTTTCTGACTTCAAGAAAGAGAAAAGTTTATACTGATATTGCTATAATGGAATGAATGTCCCGGTCTACTATGTCTGATATGAGGTTTCTGTCATGTAAAGTCAAAGAATGAACTTTAGGAACAACAGAGATTAAGAGAAGAATAAACTTATTGAGAGAAAAAAAGCTGCCTGAGAGAGAGAAGGTGTCCTGAGCAGGTTGTCAAACACTGTCCTTTCTAGGGACCTTTATAGAGTAAAATCATGGGATGAAATGAGTTTAAGGTGGAGAAACCTAGGAACTCACAATGCAGATGGGCATAAATGAGACAGAGCTATGGTAGCCAATAAGATTATAAGTTCAGGTAAAGTTGATTAAATTGGAAACAAAGAGAGAAGGGAGTCACATAGAAAGCAGGCATTCTTAGGGGAAAGTGAATCTTCCCTTAGGGGTTTGGGAGGGTGACTACTGAAGTCATCAGGATGACAGGAATTATTTAGAATGTCAGTCCTTAGGATAAGGATACATTTCTTTGAATGGTGACTTCTGACTTCCTCAGAGTGCTAGGGAACTGTTTAGATTATCAATCCTTAGGATATGGATGAATTTGCTTATCATTTGTCTTCAGACTTGGCCCATAGCATGAGGTGTCAGTCTTCCCCATAGTGGCAAGGTATCTGGACTCCTGCATGGGCTCCTTGGAGGACCTAGCCATGTCTCATGCCAATATTATTTAAATAACTCAGGTCCCTGTAACAGTACTGTTTGGAAAATTGATTACAGCTGTCTTGGGCTCTGGGTGAATGATCTGGGGATGTCAATGTGCAATGTATATACCAGTGTTGCCTCCTGATTGACATGTTTTGAAATTTAATTTTAGTTGATGTGTTCTTTTTTCACTGAAATAAAATGGATTTGAAAATTAAAAGCCTGAGGTAAAGCTCTTCAGTACAAACACTCCTCTGTCGAGCTGAGTTCACCACTGTAGAAGAATGGCAGCTCCAGAAGTCTCTGCACTACAGTCTATCATTTTGGATCCTCTCTTGCTGGGAGGGGTCCCTTTCCCTGTTTATTCTTGTCTCAGAAGGAGGGCAGTACAGCAGGAGTCAATCAGTGATGAAGGTGCAGGCTATATGAACTGTCCAATCAGGTGGGCCATTGCTGGCTGTGACTTCTGTCTCTTTGGATGTCTCATCATGATTTACCTGTTCTGAGTACAATACTGGTAGCAAAACGCTTGCTGGATCTCATTTAGTACATTCAATGTCCTGTGGCCTGATTAGCAAAGAACCCAGGAGAGATCCTGGAGCCATGGAATGGTGAGGCTGTGGATGAGAACCCAGAAATAAGGTGGACTAGGTAAAACCAGTTACAAGTGTTTAGGAGTAGTTCTGGTGTCTGGAGCCTCAGGTATTTAGTTAGCTTTAGCTCCTGAGGTTCTCCAGCATTGGCCATGGGTCATTCACTGTCCCTTTTGCCTCTTGCTGTTGGCAAGGGTGATTGGGGGTCCCAAGAACCGTGGCCCCACTATGACAGCAGCTGACTGAAGTATCATCTTTGAAAATCACTGCTGGCCTGGTAACTCCACAATCTTAGGCATTGAAAGGACCTTGGGAAGACCCTAACTATGATGCTTTCTGTAGCTTGTAGAGCAGTAATGAGCTAGGTCTCTGCTCTCTTTCCTCAGAGTAGCAGATCTGGAATGTCCAAAGTTCATTAATGCCTGTAATGCAGGGCCTCATAGTCACAATGGCTCAACTTAAACTTTGGCTTTTTTGTATTTATAGTGATCTGCTAAATTTATACTATGTTCTCATATTTCCATCCTCAGGACAGGTGGTGGCAAATGTCCTGAGAATTCAGAGATGTGTAGTAATGTGCCTCAGTAGAGGAAGGCTTCCCAAACAGCTGGTGAACTTCTGTGTATTATACAGAACAGTGCAAATAATTTCTGAACATACTTAATTATTTATGTGGCACCCCTGCTCACAGACTAGGTTTGTGAGAACAGCCATAGAGTTTTAAAGTCTGAGAAAAATGAAGCAAATATGAAAGTGCTATCAAGGCCAGGGTAAAAATTTGTATAGGACAAATTCCAGAAAGGCCTACCTGTTAAATTTTCATTGAAAATGCTGAAATTTAGGCATTTGCATGGACATTTATACATGATATCCTACTAATGGAAAGGAATAGGGGTGTCATCTCTGAATTAAGAGCTGATTTAGTAGCTTGGTTGTTCATAGACAGTTTAAATATGGAAATTCTCTTCAATGGATTTTATTAAGTGGTGTAAAGGGGAAGTTTTAAATAGAAATTTTGCAGTGATATCAATAGTTAGGCATAAAGAGTTTTCTGCTGAGAATGGATCAGAAGAGTGTGGAAAGAATGTGGAAGTGATTGACAGGATGCAGGAAGCCAATAGCAGGACATACAACAGAGAGGGTCTTCACTGAAAGTCCGGTAGTTCTTAGAGTAAGTATGAAGTAAAGTTGGGTTCTGATTGCTTACTTGAGGTGATCCACACCAGCTTTGGCAACAATCAGCATTTCACATCCCTGTCAACCCATGAATTTTGTGTTCCATGCTTGAGATCTAATTTGCATTATCATAATTATGCCCCAGTGTCATGAAGGTAAAATTTGTATTTTTTTTTTGTTCCAAGGATTGAACTCATGACCTATGCTTTCCAGGTGGGCGGTGATGCCACTGAACTAAATACCCAACTATGAAAGTATTTTCTTTGTAGTACGGAAGACAACCACATTGTTTCTCAGAAAGTGTTGAATATTGTTGGAATTTTTCTGTATTATATGGCTATAGTTTTTAAAAACAAACCAAAGTTGTCTTATGCAGTCTCTTTTCAAGTTTCACTTTGTCTGTGGAGTGTCTCAGTCAGGGTTTCTCTATTTTAGACAGCTCTGAAACTTAGGATAGCCCCAAATTCAAGGAAGAACTCCTTCACCAGCCTCCCAAGATATACTTCTTATATCTCAATGGACAGTGATCACTGGGTGACAGTGAGCTATAATTTACAGCTTGGGCCTGGTTTCATTGTTTATACATATTTTTAAAATACAGCTGTTTTCCACTAACATTTGTGTTATTAGTTATGTACCATATTGGATGTTATTTATGTTTTGTTCTATGAAACCAAATTCATGTTTCAAAATGCTGCTGAAGTATATTAAGAACAAAGTATTCACTGGCCAAATGACATTTGAGGGGACATCATCTATAGTCTATCAAAGTGATTGATGAGATGTTTTTTTCTTTTTTTTTAAATTTTGAAACTGGTAAAATAAAACAGAACAAGGCACAATAAGGCAAACTCAGATCATACTGTGAAATTGGTACACAACTTCACAACAGGTTACTGGGATAACAGTAATAGGTATCACAGTATATTTCATTATCTTTATAATAATTGTTCTTCAATCACATATATCAAAATGAGATGAAATACAGAACATTATAGAACTTATCAGAACAGAACATTGAATAGAGCAATACCATGATTCAGAATAGAGCAAAACAGTATTAAAAATATTTGCCTTCAAAGAGATAGTAGAAGGAAGTCCCCCTTATTTGTTATTTTCAACTTCCCAGAAGACGCTCAGATTTGTGATTGCCATTTGCTAACGGGGGTGGGGGTGACAGGAGAAGAGGGGTAGGGGAAGTGGGATGTTTGATTCTAGGCCATGCATCAGTAGGTTCACTATTGCTTAGTAGGGAGACTGGCTGGTTGTTTGGTTTCACAGCGTCCGAAGTTCCAACATGGCACAGATCTCAGGAGCTGTTGCTGGTTCACACCCTGGATGGGCTGCAGTCTGCCACACTGCCACGACTTACCAGGGAAGGCAGGTGCTTGCTTGGCTTCCCAGTTGATTGATGGGATATTTATCTGCCTCTGTGCTTTGTGGATGCTGGTCCTGCAGGCTTCTCACTGTGAGCTCTGCTTTAGAGACAGTACACAGAGAATATTGGAGTGACTCAGCACAAGAATCAGTGCTCCTATTTCACTGTTACATTAGCAGTGAGTTGCAATCTAGCATCAAATTTGCTGTATTCAAAAATGTGTATATATACAAAATTAATGACCAAGACATGGATTTAAATTTGAAGAAATCAGTCTTCATTCAGCCTTTTTGTTTGGTTTTATGTAAGTTTAGTTTTGTTTTATTGAGACAAGCTTTCTGTATGTATATCAGCTGTATTTGAACACCCTGTGGAGCCTAGAATTGCCCTGAACTCACCAAAGCCATCCTGTCTCAGCCTTTTGAGATTCAGATTTGTAGGGAAGAATTTAAGATATCTCAAACCTGGAATCTCAACCTTCCTTTGAGAAATACATGTATGATCCTTTAGGAGCCAGTGACCTTTGAGGATGTGGTCATGAACTTCAGCAATGAGGAGTGAGCTTTGTTGATTCCATCCCAAAAGAACCTCTACAGAGATGTGATGGGTGAAACCTTTAGGAACTTGGCTGCAATAGGTAAGGATGAAATACTTTTGTCACTCATGCTGTCAGAATATTGTTTATTGCTCATTATTGCTGTTTCATTAAAAGAATGTGAAAATATTTTTAAAAATAGCTCAGATCTGGACCCATTATATCATAAATCTAAACAAAATCTATTAATTTGTATGTATTATACTAATGAGCACTGGTATTTCTATGTCTACAATTCAGGAGGACTTGGGGATATCCAGGAAGCTAAAAAAGAATGCAAGATTTACTGGAGATACTTAAGGTAATTCACACTCACAAGGAGAAGGAATGTTCCTGAGTAATTAGTAAGCAGAAGAATGGCAGCCAAAGAAATGAGGCACCATTCAATTTAATGTCAGCAATATTCTCTGAAGATGTATAAGCTAGGGTATGTGTAATGAGGGAATTAAATCATGAAAACATATGACATTGCATATAGACATGTATGAAAGGCATACACTTTGAGTTATGATATTCTGCCTTCAGTTTTTCTACCCATGTATACATGTGAATACAACACATTCATTATCTAAAAATTACTAAGATTGCAATAGAATTTGAAATAAAATGGAGTGCTCATGTTTCCAAGCCATGCCCTAGAGAATCAGCCATTCTAATTAAAATTCTGAGTAATCTGTTGGAATGTTAGTGCACTCATTCTGAATATCAGTATGCAATTTTCTCTAGAAATTGATCCCCTCATACTTGTCCTGGATATATTTTTAAAAACTCAAAATCTGCATAAAATTTAGATACATGCTTACTCATATACAATGCAAATCAAGTTATAACAGATCAGGGCTTGAAGAAGCTTAGCTATCTATCACTGGACTTGTGGAGAAGGAAAATATTAATAGACTCTGTGATTGTGCATTCTTGTAAACCCAGCAAACTAGGAATCAGATTTTGCAGAATGGCAAATTCAAGTTCAAACTTCACAGCTTAATGATCAGTGAAAATCTCTAAAAACAGATTTTAAAAAAAGCTATAGATGTTATGCTAATACGTGTTGCTCATTCCCAGCATGGAAAAGAAAAAAAGTGTGTTTTATAATCTCAAAAAACAAACAGTATAATGTCATTTGCCATAAGAAATAGATGGGTCTTTCTCCTAGCAATTCAGTGAAATAGCTGAGCTATAAAACCTAAAAGGTCACAGCATTTCTTTTAGATGAGAAAGCAAAGTATAAATTGTGGAATGAAATGAAAGAGAGTCGATAGAGAAAAGTAAGACTGACCATATGGAAAAGGGAATTACAGGTTAAGGACAGAAGCGAGATTGTGATGGGGAAACATATCAGAATGATCTGTATGTGATACACATATGTACCCATGCCCAAAGTGAAGCTAAAGATTCTGCATTTCAAAAGGTACCAAATTTTAAGATTTCTAAACGTGTACCAGTATTTTGGGAATGGTTGTTTTCAACATATCTTACAAGGCCATTCTGTTGCTTCATGGTCAGAATTTCTTAGCAGCCATTAAAAACAGAACGTGACATTAATGCAGTCATTAAACTGAGACCCATTTCACTGTCAATTTTTCTTTTTTTTTTTAATTTAATGTAAGGAAAGACTAAACAAAACACAATAAGTAGAAATAATACTACTTTTAAAGTGAAAATAAACAGTAAGAAATCGCAAGACGATGATTACATATGGTGTTCATAAAAATAGTTAATCAAATACAAAAGTGAAACATGAAGTGGGGATTCAAACAGCAAGACTGCAAACAGTTTTGTTCAACTCTCCAAAAAAAGCTTAGTAATATGGTTATCAATCCTATATGTGATGTTTTTCTTTACAGAAATGACAAGCTAGGAAAGTCCTATGGACATACATCTTGGAATCAGTGTAAAGAAGTATTCCTTTGTACTGCAGAAGGTAATGTGAATGTGAAAGAAACAGAAGCACACCACAATGTAAAGATCCACAAAAAATATTGCAGTGGAGGGAAACCCTATGTATGTCAGCAATGTGGAAAAGGTTTCATCAAATCTGGACATTATAAGCAACATGAAAGAATTCACACTGGAGAGAAACCATATGTATGTAAGCAATGTGGCCAAGCTTTTAACAGAAGTGCATATTGTAAGGTTCATGAAAGAATTCATACCGTAGAGAAACACTATGTATGTAAGCAATGTGGGAAAGCTTTTAACACATGGGGAGATTGTAACAAACATGAAAGAAATCACACTGGAGAGAAACCCTATGTATGTAAGCAGTGTGGGAAAGTTTTTAAAACATGTGCGTATTGTAAGGTTCATGTAAGATTTCACACTGGAGAGAAACCTTATGTATGTAAGCAATGTGGGAAAGCTTTTACCACACATGGACAGTGTAAGGCACATGAAAGAATTCACACTGGAGTGAAACCGTATGCATGTAACCAATGTGGGAAAGCTTTTAACACACGGGCAGATTGTAAGAAACATGAAAGTGTTCACACTGGAGAGAAACCCTATGTATGTAAGCAATGTGGGAAAGCTTTTAACACACAGGGATATTGTAAGAAACATGAAAGAATTCACACTGGAGAGAAACCCTATATATGTAAGCAATGTGGAAAAGGTTTCTTCATCTCTGGTCATTGTAAGCAACATGAAAGAATTCACATTGGAGAGAAACCCTATATATGTAAGCAATGTGGGAAAGCTTTTACCACACATGGACAGTGTAAGGCACATGAAAGAATTCACACTGGAGCGAAACCATATGTATGTAACCAATGTGGGAAAGCTTTTAACACACGGGCAGATTGTAAGAAACATGAAAGGATTCACACTGGAGAGAAACCCTATGTATGTAAGCAACGTGGGAAAGCTTTTAACACACGGGGATATTGTAAGAAACATGAAAGAATTCACACTGGAGAGAAACCTTATGTATGTAAGCAATGTGGAAAAGGTTTTACCATCTCTGGACATTATAAGCAACATGAAAGAATTCACACTGGAGAGAAACCCTATGTATGTAAGCAGTGTGGGAAAGCTTTTACCCAACTTGGACATTGTAAGCAACATGAAAGAATTCACACTGGAGAGAAACCCTATGTATGTAAGCAATGTGGGAAAGCTTTTACCCAACATGGACATTGTAAGCAACATGAAAGTTCACACTCAAGATAAAACCAGTGTATATAAGTATCATGAGAATTTTTGAGCACACGTACATATTGCATGATGCATGAAATCTTCACACTGGGCAGAAAACTTATATATGTAAGGAATGTGGGAAAGGTTTCAGCAGAAATGCTCATTGTCCAATACATGAAAAAAATTACACTGTTGAGGAACCCTGTGTATGTGAAGAATGTGGGAAAGCTTTCACCACATGTGGATATTGTAAAATACATCAATGACTTTATACTGATAAGAAACCCTATGTATAGAACAATGTGGCAAAGCTTTTACTGCATAGAGTCATTGCAAAACACATGAAAGAATTCACACTGGGAAGAACCACTGGCTATGTAAGCAAGTGGAGACACTTTCAGCAGCCATATTGTAAGTGAAATATGTGAAAAAACTCACACAAGCGATAAATTCTATGTGTTATGGGAACCCTCAGCACACATGATCATTGTTACATATCTGAAAGAGCTCACTGGATCCTATGTGGATTAACAATGTGAGAAATATGGCAATTCATGTTTGTTGTTAAATACATAGAAAAAACATCACTCTTCAGACAGTGTAGATCTAAGTTTACTTTAAAAATTCCTAGGAGAGCTGAAGAAATAATCAATACAGAATTTTGATGTCAATATTTCTTCACAAATTTTACAGAAATGCCAAATCTGAGGAGAATCTCTACTCAAGTGCACATGTTGTATGGTTTTCAGTTAATGACTTGTACCTCTTTAGATTTTTTTAAGTGTCTTTGTGCTTCAACACGGCATCTTGTAATTAAACATGGTAAACTGAAATGGGCTTTTCAATTTCAAGTATGGATAGTGTCTATGTCCTTAATATTTTGTCTTTAAATATTTTATATTTTTGTGAATTTTAATGTTGTTTATTTAAAGAGAAAAAAACAGAAAAAAAGTGTAGAAATAATACAGAATTTCAGAAAAATAATAAGATATAACTAGTTGATTTGTTACATATTGTCATCTTAGAAGTAGTTGTTCAAATTATAAAATTAAAGCACACAAAGTGATATTCCAATAATGACACTGCGAACAGTTAACTTCTATGATCCAACAAAAACTTATTAATATGCTTATCTGTCCTACACACTTGTATTTTTCTTAAAGAGTGTAAGATTAAACATGACAAAACAGAAGATAACAGTTCATAAGAAAACTAGTTAAGGAAACACAGATTTCAAAGCAAGTCCACTGGAGATGTTCACTGTTTATCTTACTGTCTCTAGTTTTCTTCCAAATAGTTTTTCCCATCTTCACATGCATTAAATATATACTGAACACTATAGATCTAAGCAAATAATTACAGAATGATGCAGGCTTTTTTGGTCTTCAAGACTTATTTTGAGGAAGTCGAAGATGACTACGATAATGTCTCTCATTCTCTTCATAATAGCTGTCTTTATCTTTATGTATGCTCAAATTGAGCATAAGAAACTAGACTAATATCACTCTGAACAGTGAATAATAGCATCCTGAGAAGGAGAAAGTTGAGGAATTGCCTAATAAAAGAAGGCAGAGGACATTGTTAAAAGTGATTAGACTCTGTTCCATTCTATATGATAGTATCAAGTTTGAAGACATAGGCAACTACTTTGAAGACAATAAGATTCACTAAGATACCCATTCTTGTTTGACTATTGTCTTCTTTGGAAGTCCTGTAATGTTTACAATGCCTAAGTTTTATTGGTCTTGTTCTCTACTGTTTTGTCCAACTTTATAATATCTAATGAGATAGACAGTTCTTTTTAAGGAAACAAGGGACAACGTTGATAACCATTGTTGATAAACTTGTACTCTGTTCTACACCATGTGCTATGTCTATCCTTGGTATTGACTGACAGCTTTGTTTTGCAATATTTGACTGTATTCTTCCCCCCCCAAAAAAAGTAATAAGCACTAAGGAGTAATAAAATCCAAAATGTGTAAATTTTGTTGTAAAAAAGAGAGGGAAAAAAAAAGAAGAAAAAGAGCTCTAACGGATGTAACAGCAAGTGTGTTTAGGGGTGTTAAATAGCTGACTATATCAATGTTTTTGGATCATTGAACACAGCTGTTTGCAGTCTCCCTGTTTGAATGTCCACCTTGTATTCTTTGATACTGTGATTTGAGGAACTATTTTCAAGATGATAATATGTAATCTACTAACAGGTGATTTCTTACTGTTATGTTTTTTTTTTTTTGTAGTTCTGTATTACATGTACCCTTACACCACCTTGGTTTGTTTTGTGTTTTTCTCTTTTTCCTCTTAAATAAAAAAAAAGGATTTAAAAAAAAGTGTATCGGGATTTAAAAGCTACGGTAGTCTTATTGCTCTGTTTAGTTTGATTACATTTTGTTCTGGTCTGTCTATTTATATTAGACTTGAGCACACAGAGTGATAACCCCAAAACAGCAGGTTATACCATGGTAACTATCCTTAATTTCCTATTAACTTAAACTAAGTTAATAGGAACCTGGTATTACTTACATTGTCCTCTATGACTGATCTTCTTTGAAGCTGTTTTGTTTGAATGATATTTGGCCTTGACTGAATTTATTCACATTTGCTTTGCTTACTGGTATCAAGTCCAAGAGTAGAGGCAACTACTCTGAAGATAACAAGATGTAAAAGATATACATTGGGGGGCTGTGGATTTAGCTCAGTGGCTTAAGCAACTGTCTGGCAAGTGTGAGGTCATGAGTTTGATCTCCAGTACCAAATAAATAAATAAATAAATAAAAGATATGCATTCCAGGTTTGATTATTTTTTATTTAAAGAGAAAAAAGAAAGGAAATAAAAAACGAAGCAGTAAAAATGTACACATACTACATAATTTCAAGAAAAAAATACAGTAAGAAATCACTAGTTAATAGGTTACTTATATATCAGCTGAGCGGAGGCCAGCCCTGCTGCTGCCTTTCCCACCTGGGGCCCATACTATGACCCCTGTGGACTGGAAGGTGTGTATTCAGCTGAGCGGAGGCCGGCCCTGCTGCCGCCTCTCCCACCCAGCGCCCAACTACCACCTCTGGGGACCGGAAGGTGCGCATCCAGCTGAGCGGAGGTGACTCTGGTCTGGCCCTGATACTGCAAATTGAGGAAGCTTTAGGTCTACCTGAGAGGAGCCTGGAAAGCCTCTTTTAATTCAGGGGCTCTGCTGCCCAAGGAGGGAGCTACTACAAAAGGAGTCCCAAGAGCCCAGGACATAAGAGTCAGTTTACAACACAACCAGGGGAAACCCTGAAACAACACTTGAAACACAGTAATATAGGAAAATGACAAAGACCAAAATTCAATCTCAAACATCCAACCCATCACCCCAAGAAAGCCTAGGAGCCATGTACATAGAAGAAAATACATGCCATATACCTGAAATACCTGAAACAATAGTAACAGAAATAAAGAAGCAGCTCTGGGAAGCTTTGAAGGAATTCAAACTAGAAATAATATATCAGGTAAAAAAAAGAAATAATAAAAGAAATGAAGGAGATGCTGAACATATCTAAACAAGACACAGCTAAACAATTGGAGGAACTAAACAAAAGGATAGAATCTCTGGATGAACAATATAAGAAACAAACAGAATATATAAAACAGATGCAAAGAGATATACAGGAAATCAAAAGCAACATTGAAAGTTGTAAAAACCACCTGAATGAATGCGAAGATAGAATTTCAGACCTCGAAGACAAGATTGCAGCCAGAGAACAGGAAAGGAAAGATCTTTTAAAAATAACAAGAATCAAGAAATAACAATACAACACCTGCAAGATGACGCAAAGAAAAACAACATCAGGTTGATAAGGATAAATGAAAAAGAAGGAGACAATACAAAGGATGTCAAGAGGATATTTAGAGAAGTAATTGTTGAAAACTTCCCAAACATGAAATTGGAAACTTATATCAGGATCAATGAAGCATGTAGAACTCCAAATAGCCATAACCAAAATAAAACTACACCCAGATATATAATAATCACCATTCCAGAAATTGAACAAAAGTATAGAATATTAAAAGCTGTCAGAGATAAAAGACAGATCACCCATAAAGGAAAACCTATAGAATCACAGCAGAGTTCTCAACACAAACAATAAAGGCAAGAAGAGCATGGAGTGAAATATTTCAGACCCTAAAGGAAAATGATTTCCAACCTAGACTAATGTACCATGCAAAACGGTCCTTCAAAATTGATGGAGAAATAAGATACTTCCATGACAAAGAACAGCTAAAGAAATTCATGATCACCAAGCCAACCCTGCAAAGAATACTGAAAGACAGTCTAGATACACTTAAGAAAAAACCATTTAACAAAGCAGACAATCAAATAGAACAAAAAGATAAAGATGCAACAGCAGAAAGATAACATCTCACTAATAAACCAATATATAACACTTATAACCATTAATGTAAATGGTCTCAGCACACTAATTAAAAGAAATAGACTGGCAGAATGGATCAAGAAACAAAATCCAACCATATGCTGTATACAAGAAACCCATCTAACCCAAAAGGATACTGACAGACTGAAAGTCAAAGGATGGAAAACAATACTTCATTCAATAGGAACTCAAAAAAAAGGGGGGTAGCTATTCTGTTTGCAGACAATGTGAACTTCAAACCAATAATGATCAGAAGAGACAAAGCAAGTCACTGCATATTGGTTACGAGAAAACTTCAAGAGGAAGAGATAACTATCTTAAATATATATGCACCAAATTCCAAAGCACCAAGTTATGTAAAACACGTAACATCAGAAATGAAAAACCAAATTAGCAGTAATACAATTATAACAGGAGATTTTAACACACCATTGACAACAATGGACAGATCAACAGGACAGAAAATCAGCAAAGAGATAAAAGAACTGAATCACACCTGTAAACAAATGGAATTGATAGACATATACAGAGTATTCCGCCCAACAACAACAGAATACACATATTTCTCAGCAGTACATGGGTCATTCTCTAAAATAGACCATATATTAACTCATAGAACATATTTAAAGAAATGCAAAAGAGTTGAAATCATCCCCTGCATGTTATCAGATCATAGCGCTATGAAATTAGTAATTAATGATAAAAGATACTGCAAAAATCCCATAAACACATGGAAAATGAATTAACACACTCTTGAGTAATCAGTGGGTCACAGAGGAAATTAAACAATACCTACAAACAAATGAAAACACAAATATAACTTGCCAGAATCCGTGGGATGCAATGAAAGCTGTCTTCAGAGGGAAATTTATTGCACTGAGTTCCCACATCAGGAAAACCAAACAAATACAAATAAATAACTTGATGCTACACCTCAAACAGCTAGAAAAAGAAGAGCAAGTCAAGCCCAAAGCCGAAAGAAGAGAGGACATTATAAAAATCAGACCAGAAATTAATGCAATAGAGACTAAGAAAACAATACAAAGAATCAATGAGTCAAAGAGTTGGTTCTCTGAAAGAATAAATAAAATTGATAAGCCCCTAGCCAACCTTATTAAAAAAAGGAAAGAAAAAGCTCAAATTCATGCAATAAGGAATGAAAAAGGTGAAATCACTACAGACCCAACAGAAATACAGAAGATCATCAACACCTATATCAAAAACCTCTACTCTCAAAGGTTAGATAACGCAGAAGAATTAGACAGATTTCCAGAAGAATATGAAGTACAAAAGCTAGGTCAAGAAGAAGTAAAACTGCTGAATAACCCAATTTCTATTCATGAAATCAAAAATGTAATTAAGTCATTACCTACAAAGAAGAGCCCAGGCCCAGATGGATTCACTGTAGAATTCTACAAGAAACACAAAGAGGACCTAATGCCGACACTCCTCAAACGCTTCAATGAAATTGAAAGGGAATCAATCCTTCCTAAGTCATTCCTGAAAGCAAATATTACTCTAGTACCAAAACCTGAGAAAGACCCAACTGAAAAAGAGAACTAAAGACCAATCCCCCTAATGAACACAGATGCAAAGATCCTCAATAAAATATTGGCAAACAGGATGCAGCAAGTCATCAAGAAGATTATACACCATGACCAAGTGGGATTCATTCCAGGTATGCAGGGATGGTTCAATATATGTAAATCAATAAATATAATCCACCATATCAATAGAGTCAAAAGTAAGAATCACGTGATCATTTCTATAGATGCAGAAAAAGCTTTTGATAAGGTACAACATTCATTTATGATAAGAACCTTACAGAAAATTGGAATAGATGGTCTTTACCTCAACATACTAAAGGCCATCTATGACAAACTAACAGCCAGTATCATACTAAATGGCCAAAAATTGAAGGCCTTTACTTTAAAATCAGGCACAAGACAAGGCTATCCCCTGTCATCACTCCTATTTAATATAGTGCTGGAAATACTAGCCAGAGCAATTAGACATGAAAAAAAAAAATAAAAGGCGTAAAGAGAGGAAAAGAAGAAGTTAAACGATCACTATTTGCAGATGATATGATACTCTACATAGAAGACCCCCAAAACTCCATTGAAAGACTCCAAGATATAATAAATAAATTCAGCAATATGGCTGTATACAAAATCAATACTCAAAAATCAATAGCATTCTTATATACTAACAACAAAATCACAGAGAGATAAATAAGAGAAGCCACACCCTTCACACTAGCAACCAAGAAAATGAAATATTTAGGAATTACTCTCATGAAAGAAGTGAAAGACCTATACAGGGAAAATTATAATACATTGAAAAATGAAATTGAAGATGATCTCAGGAAATGGAAAGACATCCCTTGCTCATGGATAGGAAGAATAAATATTGTGAAAACGGCCATTCTCCCAAAACTGTTATACAGATTCAATGCAATCCCAATAAAAATACCATCAACATACCTCATACATCTCGAGAAATCAATCCTAAAATTCATCTGGAACCAGAAGAGACCTAGAATAGCAATGACAGTTCTAAGCAGCAAAGGCAAGGCAGGAGGCATCACAATCCCTGATTGAAGTTATACTACAAAGCAACTGTAGTAAAATCAACATGGTACTCGAATCAAAACAGAGCTGAAGACCAATGGAATATATTAGAAGATACAAACACATCTACAAACACACTCAACCACCTCATCTTTGATAAAGGGTCCAAACAGGTTCACTGGAAGAATGACAGTCTCTTTAATAAATGGTGTTGCAAAAACTGGCTCTCCATATGCTGAAAACTAAAACTAGACCCATGCCTGTCACCATATACTAAAATAAAATCTAAATGGATCAAAGATCTAAATATTAAAACAGAAACACTAAATCTATTGGAAGACAAATTGGGTAAAAACCTTGAAGACATAGGGGTAGGTAGAGAATTCATGAACAAGACTCAAACCACACAGGAAATACTTCTCAGAGTCAATAACTGGGATCACATCTTATTAAAAAGTTTCTGCACATCGAAAGAAATCTGTAACATAGTAAAAGAAAACCCACAAACTGGGAAAAAATCCTAGTGAACTGTCCCTCAGACAAAGGACTTCTGTCTAAAACATACAAAGAATTAATAAAAATCAGACCCCCAAAATTCAAAGACCCCATCCAAAAATGGTCATCGGAGATGAATAACCAATTTTCAGAAGAAGAAATACAAACGGCAAATAAATATATGAAAAAATGTTCAGCATCACTAGTCATTAGAAAAATGCAAATTAAAACCACACTGAGATTTCATCTCACTCCTGAAAGAATGGCCAAGATCAACAAAACCACCTATAACAAATGCTGGAGAGGCTGTGGGGAAAAAGAAACTCTCCTGCTCTGTTGGTGGGAGTGTGGAGGTCCACACTCCCACCATTGTGGAGGTCAGTCTGGAGATTTCTCAGAAAGCTGGGACTGGAAGCACCATTTGACCCAGGTATTCCACTCCAGGCATATTCCCAGAAGAACTGAAAGCATCATACCACAGGGATATATGTGCACCCATGTTTATAGCAGCACAATTTGTAATATCCAGATCTTGGAAACAACGTAAGTGTCCATCAACTGAGGAATGGATAAAAAAGTTGTGGTATTTTTATACAATGAAGTATTACTGAGCTATAAAAATGATCACATTGAGACATTTATAAGTAAATGGAAGCAGTTCGAGACCATACTTATAAGTGAAATACATAAAACTCACCTGTATAAATACCGAATAGTTTCCCTAGTGTAAGAAACGATAAGAATACATGAAAGTACATGATAATCATGATTCCCAGTCACACTGGTTTGAAGTCATATAATGTTTTCACTCATTACTTGGAATGGTTTTAATTTGCGTGTTTTTATTTTATTGTCTGTGATACTACAAATGACTATTTTGAAGAGAATAAGAGAGTAATAGCTAGTGCTGATTTAATATCATCCTGTTTTGAAGCCCCATCAAGTTTTTGTTCATTTGTTTCCATTGGTTCTAGCATGTGGTACCTTATTATATCTTAATGTAGGTGATAGTATAAGCAAGTTTTTTATAGACAAAGAGATAATATAGAAATTGATGTTTGGTTTCTGCTAGCTGGTTCTAAATTCCCTGCAACAATTTCATTCTCTTGAATGGTCTCACAGTGTCTTGATAAATTTGATGCTATAGTATACAAAGTTAGACTCAAATATTTCAAGGAAAGAGTCACTATGGTAACTACTATTAATGTCAAGCTATCTGGGGGTGAAACACAATGATGGTTAAATTTTTTGATTCTAACCGGTGTTGTTATATTGATACGTTCTCGTTTTTTATCTGTCTCCCCCTTTTTTCTTTCCTTTTTTTAAAATTAATTTATTTCTTAGTATCTTTTAACTAAGGGAAAATTAAATTTAAATTGTGTGATAAATTATAGTAATTTATTTTTTGTTTCCCTATTAACCTGATTTGAACCCCTGTAGTGTTCTCCATATCTAGTTCTGACTGATTTTATTATATTCTATTTTGCTTAATAGTAACAAGTTTGAGGGTATAGGCAACCATTTGGAAGGCAACCAGATATTCTATGACGCCCATTTTTATTTGACTATTATCTTCTTTGGAATCCTGTAAGCTCTCCAATGTGATTTTGTTGCTCTTATGTACAGTTTTGTTCCATTCTTTTATACTAGCTGATATAGGCTACTCTTTTTAGGATAACAAGAAGCATAATGGTAACCACTGTTGATCACCTAGTAATCCCCCCCCCTTTTTTTTTTCATTTTATGCTATGTCCATCCTCCTAATCTAAATGGCTCTGTTTTGCTTTGTCACATTGGGTTTTTCCTTGGTCCATCTTGCTTTTTTTTTTTTTTTTTTCATTTTTTGGCCTTATTTTTTCAAACTTTTTTTCTTTTCCTCTTCAAAGAAAAAGTTAAAAAAAACTATGGAAGTAATGGAAACTAAAATGCGTGATTGTTAGTGTAAAAAAGAGAGGAAGGAAAGTGATCTCAAGGATATAACTGCAAATTTATTTAAATGTGTAGGAAAGAGAACCATATTGCTGAGTTTTTCTTCGATCATTGAGCAGAACTTACTGCAATCTCACTGTATTAATCTCCACTTTGTATGCTTTAATTTTGTAATCTGGACAGCAGTTTGTAAGTTGACAATGTGTGATCTATTAACTGGTGAACTCTTACTGTATGTTTTTTCTCTTGAAATTCTGTGTTACTTCTAGCCTTTTATTGTCTTGCTTCATTTAGTTTTGTTTTTCTCTTTAAATAAAAAAAAAACCTATTGGCTGAGCAAGGAATGGTGAAAATGCCTGTAATGCCTGTACTCAAGAGGCTGAGGCAGCAGGGTTCCTGGGAGTTCCAGACAAGCCTGCAACATATTCTGAGTTCAGCTCAGGCTACCATGACACAGGGAGACCCTGACTATAAAAGAA